CTATTTTTAGAACAGGCCTGCGGGCGACTCGTTTGGTCCGTGCGGGCAACCTGGTGCCCGCGGGCACCGTGTTGGTGACCCCTGCCGTAGCATTTCAGTAACGTTTTTGTAACATTTACGTAATGTTTACGAAGCATTTCTATAACGTTTCTGCAGCGTTTTCCTTACATTTCTTTCTGTAACGTTTCCGTAATGTTTCCGTAACGTTCCTGTAACATTTGTTTCTGTAACGTTTGTATCCGTAACATTTGTTTCTGTAACACTTCCGTAACATTTTCTTTCCATAACGTTTCCATAAGATTTCTATAACGTTTCCAACGCCCTCCACCTCCTTTCCGAACCACATCCTTTGGTTCCCGGACTTTTCCGCCTCCATATATGACCCCTTTTTGGTTCTTACCCCGTCTTCGGCCGTCATCTTCCTCCTCTTCTTCACCTTCTCGGGCAGCAGCTTGCGGACGCGTTCCCGGGTTCCTTCGGAGCCGAACTCCCTCTCGAAGTCCCTCCAGGACTCCAGCAGCATGAGCCGCTCCTCCTTCTCCTCGCAGCTCCTCATGCCCCTGTTGGCCTCCTCGAAGATCTGCCGGCACCTCTGCAAACGCTCCGGCCCCTCCAGGGACAGCTCGAACTTAGCGTAGCTGATCCAGACCTGAGGGGGGAGGGGGGGGAGGAGGAGGCGGCCATTTTGATTTGTTTTCTGAGGTGGAAACGAAACTTTACCGTCTATAAGAAATCAGAGGATAAACCATGTACTAACCCTAAACCTGACCCTAAACCTAACCATAACCCTAACCTTAACCCCAACCCTAATCCTAACCCTAAATCTAACCCTAACCTTGACTCTAACCCTAACCCTAACCCTCCACCATCATAATTGTGAGAAATAAATATTTTTTGTTTAAACTTGTTTGGACTTATTGTACAAACCTATTTAACATCCACTGTTTTAACATAATATTATGGATAGAGTTTAATTCAGTGTTTGCAAGATTCATTTCGCTATTTTTAAATTAACGTCTATATTGCCATGAAGCAATTAGGATTTTCTCTCCTGGGATCTTCCTGTTGGTGACCTAATCAAAATGGCCGACTTGGATATGGAGGGGGTCTCACCTTGACGTGCTGCGTGCGCTGCAGCAGCCTCTTGTAAAGGTT